GGAGTTTACGATGTAGACGACGTGCGGCGAATTTGGTCGGTTTCCGTATCATGTGAAACAATCGCTTGCAAACACGCGGAAGGTAAATCTTAGCTGCCATACGACGATCGGTTTACGTTTCCATGAAATTGCGCATAAAGCAAAGTACGTTGTAATTCTAGATTACTGAGTATATTATCTATTGTGAATATTATACGAATATATTTACCATTGTATTCAATATATGCTGAGTATATTTTGATTTTTAAAATAAAATAAAATCGCCGCCATCACCATTATCTGTGCCATCATATATTTAAATATAATTACTTAAAAACATACTGCAAAAAATGTATTAATGCCACATGTTAACTTTTTTTTTCAAAATATAAAAATTTTCTGATTTTTCAATTGTATAATGAAATAGCTTTGAAAGTAGTAAATCGGATTACAGCTACACGACATGATTTATTACTTGTAGCTCTGTCATCTATTTCGTTTTATATCGAAATTAATTGTCGGTCCAGAAATATGATATTAACTTTAAAACAAACGCAATAAAATCGCAACTCAACGTCCATTTTCATTTCACCAGCTAACGGTGTCGAATCAACGTTTAAAATGCGTCGATCGAATCCCGGGCAATCCCGCGAATCCGCCTCACGTTAATTAACCCGTGTTTTCGTCCACGGAATTAAACATAAGATCGACGCTCTGACATTAGTGGGGATAATGTGCTACTAACTTTAACACGGCGAAATCTACAGGGTGGTAAATCGGACGATTAGGTTCCTCGTTGCTCGAAAAGAAGCCGTCTCCTGTCAGCGTGGGTGATCGGATCCCCTCGCGGGCACCCTTCGGCAATCTTCTACGTCTCCCTTCGCTGATCTTGCGCGATCCACCAACGTTCCCACCCTCGTCCGACGGTGTTAAACTCCGGGAGAGCGGATGGAGAGGGAGGGACACCCAGCGCGGCGAGGAAAGAAGTTTGAATTTTCCAACGTCGAGTTTGACTTGCAGAGTGCTAATATTAAAGTTCGTCGTGTGCCGCGCGGGAACGGGAAGGGCCAGGGCCTTCCGCGGGAACGGGGACACGGAACGGTGAGAGGTGCCTGCCGCGCCTCGTGCATTAGCCGAGGCTCTCGGGATTAGATTAGAATTTGTTAGGGGCGTCTCTTCGGCGGTAACTTCGTCCCAGGAACGCCGCCAGTTTTGTTTCATCGCCCACGGGCGTGAGAGCTTTTCGGAAACTTTATTACAGGAAGTTCCGTCGGGACGCGCTGCCCCGCCACCAGAAGACGAGGTACAACGTTTTTAGAGCCGACCCGTCGAAGCGGACCGGAACGGCCGCGAGACTTTCGGTCTATACTGTTTGCACGCTGTTATCCCTGTCTCGAGTTGTAAATGTCATCCTGCTTGGATACAATTTCCAGCTACGAACACGCGAACATTGAAATGTTGCGAAATGAAACTTTTCTCAAACGATGATATTCATAAAGCATGTTTAGCATCTAATGGATAGTCATTCAGAAGAGTATATCTTTGTAAGAATTTTTAAAATCACATTTTCACAATTAAACATATAACAACGAAATGGCATGCACAAGACAAAATTTTATCGCATAACACGTTAAGGCTTGTCAGTCGTAAGCCATAAGAATTGACCGATCAAGTATTCTTCTCACATTCAATTATGATTGTGTGTCTGTGAAGTTAGCACATTTTGTTAATTTTGAAAAACAATAATCGTTCCAGTAGCACTTTCCAGTTCTATCGTTCTGATAAACATTTCAAAAATGCCAAAGAAACCGTGGTACTCAGATTAAATCTAAAATTCAAAGACAATTAAGAAGAAGAAGAAGAAGATAAACATTAGAAGATGTTCCGCATTTATAATACCAAAAGTTAAAAATTAAAAATAACATGCTAACTTCATGTTCCAGCACGGCACATCTCCCTCTAAAGTACTAAATCTCGTCAAATATTATTACGACGTCTATCAAGTGTTCCCGTTCCTAAGTTAATTTCATAATTATATAGCGTTTTAAGACAAAAGTGCAACAATTAATTATTTTTATACAGTTCTATGTAAATATCCACGGCAGTACAATATTCTACGGAAAGGTGTCTTGCTGACAATTTTCGATTCTGGCAACAGTTATAACGATTGATTAATGGTAAATAGTATATGCCTCAGCCGACCGTGACCCTTAAAACGTAAGTTCGGTTTGCTGAAGTAGTGGCTTCCAAATTCTACTCACGCGGTATTAACAACAAACTTTCCCCAGAAGAAGAGCCAGTACGGTTTGTCTATCTTCACGAGGTAGACTTTACCATGGTTCGTTCTTGCTGTACTTCACGCATTAAGCGAAACACTACGGGGCTGGATTAGAATTTGTCAGAGCTGTCGCGCAATAACTTCGTCCCGCGGAAATGCTTGGAGTTTGGCTTTAAGAAGTTTGCCCCTCGTCTTACGATAAATTGAAACTAATTTACACCACGCATAATGAAGTTCTTGAAGTCAAGTGCATCTCCGAGACCCCGTTGGAGCTAAGAGAGTGTCGAGAGAAAAATTTGCGACCCCGGAAAGTAGAATGTATCGTGTGTTGCGCGCGGGGTAAAACACCACTAGTCAGCGGATTATTACTACCGGCGCGTTTAAATGAAATATTCCGTTGGAGCAAACAAATTACGATTTCAATAAATAATTTAGTGCCCAGGATTGATTAACCTCTGACTGATTTACGAGGTTTAAAATAATATACAGAATATTGCAGACAATATAATTTTCTTGCTGCGCGTTATAAATTATACGTTATGTTGATCACAAATAATAATAGATATTACTGTTGATAATGATATATAAGCAGATAATCAGGTTTAACAATTATTATTTTAGTAATTTAATCTTGGTAATCAATTTAAATGGTTATTTCGAATAAAGCTGAACTTTAGCGGTTATTTTGAACTCCAGCATTGCAATTATCGTTATTCTGATAAAGTAACATGTGGATATATAAAACAGAATACACTTCAAATACATCGATAAAATGGATTACCCTGTATTATACTTTTCCCTAACTTGTACCTCATTTACTCTTGTAACAGATGTCGATCGTGGAGTTCGTTCTAAATTGACAGTTTTACGACCACGTTAAGTTTCTTATTTTTGTACTTCTCGAAGCCGAAGCACGAAAGAGCTTTTCTTCGTCGTCCCACTTCGGTCGTCGACAACTACGAAGCTGACTCTCACTTCCTCTTAATTCGATTCGATTTTTACTACGACGAGGAGCACGGTATTCGTATAACGGCATTACTTTTACGATTCCTTCTCAGTCTGAAAATCGAGCACGATTCAGGGAAGCTTAGTACACTTCCCTTTTATTACCCAGCAAAAGTCGAATCGTTCTCGAAACGGCGCATCTGCGCAAATAAACGTAACAGCAAAATGCATTTCGGATATTTAACGTTTCGCGGCCGTATAAACTCGACAATTATGGTTTATCACAACAAATGGCTCCGCTTTGTGTAAAATTATTGTTTTTGGATAGCTACAAGAATTATGAAACAACAAAAATTTATTGCTGCGAATACGCCGACAAATAAGCTAAAGATCGTTATTTCAGTTTGTAAAATAAACTTAAAACTGCAGAGTTTACATGGCTTGACAATTTATTGATAATTACGCGTTTTCTTAGTTAGAGTCTTCAAATATTTACTCTAATATCACATTAACCGGAATGATCTCGGGTGAAAGCGTGGCGCATCATAAACGTGAACTACCCACTAGACCAAGGGAGATAATGCAAGGATGTAGGCAAGGATATTTTTAAAGGATTCCAAATTTATAATTTTCAAAATAAATATCAGAGAAAAATTTTATAAAAATATAATATAAAATATTTTAAACACTTGCGCAATAAAAATAAATTCAAATAAAGGAAATAAATGTAAAATAAAAGAAAAAAGAATTGAAACAAATTAATATCAAAATAAAGAATAAAATGTATTATTATGTAACAAATTATTTTTTATATAAACGTGAACTATCACTTATTTTGTCAATAAGATTAATCCAAATTTCAAACTAATTCAGAAATTTTTAAATAAATGTTTGTATTACCTATGTTTATGCAGAAATAATTAATAAAAGATTCTTCAGCAAGTCAAAAAAGATTCTCTTAATGAATCCGATTTATTATACCGCAAGTAGTTAAGATAATTTCGAGAGAATTTTGCCTACGCCCTTGCATAGTGTAAGATAACAATACGGCTGGTGTAGAGCCAAGCTGTATAGCCGTTTTCATAGTCAGACGGTTTTGCGTTTTATGATAATGCTCTCACGTCAAACATACACCGTTGCCCTCGGCCGTTTAATGCGTTTACTCGAAAATTTTCGTCGCGACGGAGAGAGTAGGTAAAATGTCGCGATTCACCTCGCGCATTACAAATGTTTTTTACGGTGTTGTTCCGTAAGCGAGTTACGGCCGCAAAGCCCACCTTCGAGACCGGCCCGCCGTTTCCCCGGTGACGTGAAAATATCATACTCGCTGGATTTTACGGGCCGCGCGTTTAAAACTCGCATGTTTAATTATTCCCGCGAAATGTAAACTACCCGAATTATGGGGCGAACTGCTTCGCGTGGCTTTAAAACTACGAAGGGGGGGGGGAAGAGATACGATTATCCTTCCTAATGGTTACACCGAGGTTCGTTAACGTAACTGCATAATGCTCGCTCGGGCGTAATTTTACACTAAATACGTATAGAAATTCTTTTTTGGCTAAATTTATATTGGAGTAATAACGAAAAAGTCGATTATTTAATATAACAGAACTTTTAATTGGGTTTATCAAGTAATTAAATGTTCCAGATAAAATCGATCTCGCAAAACAATTGTTCATTATTCTAACAAACACGTGTATAAGCCTTGTTCATTATTTTATTACGCAAAATTTTTAACTATCGAGTGGAGCAGCATAGTACAAGGAGCTGATAAAAACTTAATTTTGCAATAACTTACCTGACCATTTCTTAGAGGAATCGACTCGCAGGGTTCCTTCGCTCTGGATTTGATCCTTACCGTTGGTGACGCGACAAGTATAAAAACCAATATCAGAAACGTCCAAATTTGTGATTTTTAATCGACTTCCTGCCAAGTTCTTCGCCGCATGTTCGTGCATCTGAAATATTTGCTTATGTTTACTGAACTTGAAAATTAATTGAATTAAAAATAAAAAAATACGGAACTTTTCAATTAAAAAAATATTAAAAAATAAAGCTATAGACATATATAAAATATACAGAATTTTAATTTTTATTTTAAAAATTGAAAATTGAATTTAAAGAATAACAAAATCTCTCACGCAAAAAACTCCAAAGAAACAATTGCATATTGGTAATAATTTAATAATTACACGTACTTGCGCGTGTATTTTCCTAATCGTGATTTTCGGTCGGTTCTCCTCTAATGGCGCCTCATTCTTGTACCATCGTATCTTTGTTGGAGGTGGATCGCCCACGACTTCGCATCGCATATGAGCAATGCCGCCGGCATCCTTCGAGATGTTTGTCAGAGTCCTTACGAATTTTAAAGTGCCACTTTTCGTACCGGATGCAGCGTCCACGTCGGTCCTGCGAAAAAGATGATAAAACGTATACTTTACAGTATAACAGTAAAAATATGTAAAATATAAGTAACTTCTTTGAAGTATCTTTATCTGTCTAAAGATGTAGATATATGTAGCAGATATAAAATAATAATTTAAAATATAAATTCGATTGTGCGTGATATATTGTATATATCCGAATAGTAAAAAAATATACATTGTGCTTTATGTCGTCTTGCGTTATTATTTTGCAATATCACGACATATTATATTTGTTAATGCTATTAGACTAAATCATCAAACATTTGAATATATTTCTATCGATCGCAAGATCCTATCTGCGGTCTCGATAACAATGTAACTTTGTAACGAGATATCATTGAGGTATTGAGGAACTTTGCGAGGGGATTGCTCGCAAGTCCTGATCCTATACCTTGTTAAACTTGCAAAGAATTTTAGCTGAATCAACGTACAATTAAATTTGTATAAATCGCAGCATGAATAGATTTTAAAATGACTCTCTTAATCTGAGAAAAATAATACAAGTGTATAAATTGTTTAAATAAAATTAATTAATTCTATTCTATTTGATTGATAAAAATTTAAATTAATTTTAATAATTAATGAAAATTAATTAATATTTAAAACAAAATTTACATTCTAAATGAATTAATCTTTTTTACTCAAAATAAAATAGCATAAAACTATAAGAGTACACAAAAACCCGAGTAATATTGATATCATTTATATCATAAAAAAATAAATTATTTAAATTAATAAAATTATTTTTATTAATTTTATTAATTTTTATAATATTTATCCAATCAAATAAATTATTCAGAATTCTAAAAATATTCTACTTTTTTTCGCACTTACAACATATGTTGAACATTAAATTATTTTTTCAAAGACAAAATTATTCTCACGACATTCTCATGAATCAATATCGTGTCCCCAGAGATGTGGACTCATGCACGTTGGCGCGATAATCGTGAGCGAGATGCTGGTATCAACTCAACGCAACGCACTTCAGAGACGTGGATATTGCAATCAATTGCAGCTTCCGGCGGGTAGAGGCAATCAGATGGCCGCGCTCGCACTTCGGTGAGTATCAATCCGAGAGAGAGCGTCACGAGTGCAATATTAAATATAAATACATTAATAAGAGTCGTGCAATTTTTATCCTCTTTTCTCACTTTTATCCTGTCCGTGAAAGTAAAGGGCGGTATCGCGCCAAGTTTCTCTTATCACGGGAGACTTGATGTACGCGGGTGTCGCGAGACGCATTTAGCGGAGCGCACGTTTTCAGAAATGTGCACCGCACATTTTTTAAATCCCGTATATTCGTGCAAAGATACGGCCCGGCGGCGCTTCCACGCCTCCTCCTACTGAAATTCCTGAAAGTCACGGGAATAATTCAAGCGAAATGCGCACGCGGGACAAAGGGCGACTTTAATTATGTCGCCGATGCAGCCGCATTTCACACGGCGACGTTCACGGCCGCCGACAGCCGTAATGTTACGACGTACCGTTGTAACGAGAGATACGCGCCGTTCGGGTGCCCACACGTTCATACGATGGGCGATGAGACGCGGTTATTATCCGCGGTTGCCTTTGTACCTTGATATTGTTGCTGCTTTGGCGCACAGGAAAATGAAAATAAATTTAAAAGAGATACTTAGATAGGCGGAATCCTGATAGTCGGTGAAGATAATGCAAAATATCATGAAAAACACATTTTTTTATGTAAAAAAAGTTTTGCATTAATTAAACAGTTATATTTAAATAAGTAGATATATTAAATATATATAAGTAAATTTGTACAATGAAAGGAGGATTTCAGAACAATGCTAGCTATAATATATTTCTCTAAGCGATGTCCTTTATCGCAACTCCTCGCGCTGATTTATTTTTTAAATAACTATATTTTTTAATAAACTCTATTAAGTCGATTGTTGTAGCAATGTAGAACTTTGCTGTACTTTGTTAATCCGATTTGCGCTTTTACTGCAAATAACTAGATTTAAAGAAAGATCCCTTTTGCATACATAAGCAGCCCACCATTAAATTTTGCTTGGTCGGTAGCCGTTCTCGCTGCGAGGCGAATTCGAGCGATGGCTGATATGCGAAGGAACACAAACGGAGGAACAGGGCGGTTAGGGTGACCCTATCCTTCCGCAGAGGGCCAATCATCGAGTTTACATTGCCGCCTGTGTGCGTGCGAGTCAGCAAGAAGTGTGTGCGTGTACGTGCGCGCACACGCGAGTGCGTGTGCGAGCCCTTAGATACACGGACGCGGGGGAACGTCTGTGTACGTACCATCAGCCACGTTTGTGCACGTGGCAGGACGTGATTGCACGTGGGTACGGGGGAGGTAACTAACCTCGCGTTTACCGCTGGTTATTGAATATAAATCAACCTATGATCAGTAAGTCATCGCGCTGGCTTATATAGGCCTGCCATGAAGTTCGTCTCGTTTGCGGCGAAACAATGTGGATGTGCAAACATTTGCCAAAGTAATTGGGAAATGGATAATCCGCCACAAGAAGTAATACAAAAACGTAAATTTTAAGTTTAAGTTCATGATGCACGATATATGCACGAATAAAATATCCAATAAGAATTTAAGAAAAGAACGCGTATAACAAGAACCACTTAATAATAAAATAATGTACGTGTAATTAACATTTGTTTTGCATTTTCTTCTACTGATACGTACGTTTTGCTGAAAAATATACCATGCAAAGCATTTTCACAATACGTAGTTTTCTTTAACGTCTTCCAATTTCGTAGAAGTAAAATTCAATCGAAAAAATACAATTTTATTATGTACGTCAGAATTATTAATTTCGCAATTTTGTTAAAAAATTTTCGATCTTAAATCTAATCTTAATATTTTTTGTATATATCATTCTGTAAATGTAAATTCGAAAATTCTCTAAACAAAAAATTGCTCTGAATGCCTAAGTAAATACAGTGAAAGGATTTGATTTTCGGGATGCGTTAAAAATCAGGGGACTTGTTGGTGCAGCTCGGTGTGCATAAATGCGCCAGCGCAAATTGCATAAAAATCAACGGCGACGTGTGTCATGACCGTGGCTCGCAGCTTTCGACGCCGGGTGGCGCGTATGAAATTAGCGGCGTGTAGACGGGCAAGATGAAAATACGTACACCGCCTGTGGCGCGTTGCACAACGCGCCAGTTGACTGCGCTTTATCTACTCGCCATGTAAAGTAATTCTATGCATTTTGAAGCGGACACCACGTTTATCAGTCGGTTGAAGCGAAACGTGCCCTTCCCACTTTCGGCGCGCTGCACGCGATGACACGCGCGTGCATTCTTAACCCGGCGTGACGCGCGATATATACATAAAACTGCATACATTTGCGTACGTAAACGCGCGTCGCGCTGCACTCTTATCTATCGGCCCATCACGACGACATTTTTGTCGCGCCCTCTCGCCGTGTCATAACGCAGAAAAATTCTAGGATACTACATACCGGTCGTAAGATAAGCAGGATTAAAATCTTTAGAAGCTTTGCATATCAAGAAAATTACGGTATATCATTCTACATGAAGTAACAAGTAAATTAAAGTTTTATCTTTCAAAACAAGACGCGACACTTTTATTTTTATAAGATATCTAATTTCATTAATCAAGTATCCTATAAAAATAATTAAGAAGAGATAAAATTAAAATATTTCATATTAGAATGATATATAATATAAGACGTCTGATCTTTTTAAGTGCTGACATTTTTAAAATGATAACACGCTTTGCTTGACGATACCTAATTATAGAAGCATTTGTAATTCGAGTCATGGACACTAATCGATCGTGACTGGAAATAATTAATATCGAAGTAAATATACACTTTGCTCTACCCTAGGGCGGAGGGCGGAGACAAAGATCGACAAAGGGATTTACAGAACACCCACGACATGTATTCGCGATATATAATAGCGTATGCGACTCAGCTAATTACGCGGTCCGGTCCCTCGTAGTGTAGATACGTCATGATATTTGCTCCATGCGCAAGATATTATTGCATGAATATGTTGCGCATTCACGTACCAAATGAGCGTGATCATCGGCTCTCCCATTACATATTATAACCGGTACTTTGCTTTAACAAATTCAAACAATTGCATTCAACTTGAAATTCGAATTTGGAAATCTGCGGATTAAAAAGAAACGAACATACGGAAAGTAAATTTTCTTCTTTTTATGAAAAAAAAAATTGGATTAAAACACAAGACAACAGATAATTTTATATGCATTTAAACATAATTAAAGTGATAAATTTAAATAAACTTTCGTTGAGTTTTTCTTTTGTTAAACAATCTTTTGCAGACTGGAAATAAAGGCAAATAAAATTATTTATAAATTACATATAAAATATATAAGATAATAATTCTTCTTCGCGTTTTAAGTAACTTCGTCACGTTACAAAATTCATCTTACATAATTAAATATCACAGGATTGAAATGCGGAATACAGTATTAAAGTAAGATGTAATCTCTAAGATTCCCGGAAGAGAGACGTGGAAAATTTGTAGGGAAAACGCGTTGGGGAGCGTTAACACTTCGTCGCACCGACGGCATTACGTCACTTTCTTCGTTGGCCATTTCAAGTAGGCAGAAGACCTTCTCAGACGGAGATTAGGAGGTTGCAGGGTTTCTATAAATAATGCAACGTTTAACCCACCCTCTCCCCTCCGACCGCTCAACGACGAGCTAGTCCCGCACCCCAATGTCGGAGACAACGTTTTAAGTGGCGGAGCTTGTTTCCCGCTCGCCTGCTTGGAAAGTTAAAGTTAATGCGGGAAGGAAACGTACAAATTGTAGAGTGCTGGAAAGTCATAATGGATTGAGTGTATTCTCATTCAAATATTAAAATAACTTATGATGCTTTGTATCAATATTATCATTTTTTTGATCAATTTGCTTCTATTCAAAACGACTGTTATGGAATCTTCCTCTAATATATTTGTGACAAGAATATAATTTCGTCGAAACATCTTCGTTGTAAGCAAAGCACGACAACGCACGCCATTTAATGGCCAATGATTTTTCTTCAATATTTAAAAAATTATACATTATTAACACAAAATTTCGCATTATGATCGTCCAATATAATTTATATGTTAGAAATAAAACTCGGAACATAGGGCGGATATATTCGATGTTTAATGGACGTACGCGGGAGTAGGAGGCATCAGAGCTAATTTCGTAATTTCCTCTCGTATATCATTTCGCTTGATATATAATATTATAAACGACAATCGTGAGCAATTTATGTCAGTTATATCTTTATTACATATCACGTATTTGTTACTGTAATGATATAAATAATGGTTCCTATTACGCCATGATTGGAAACTGCAGGCGGAGAAGCACCGAACGCTGCCGTCATTTCCAACCAATAACATGTTGTTGCAACATTAGCGTACTCAAATGTTCATTGGTGAGCAATGCACGCCGTAACATTTATATCCAAATTAGAGGTAAACAACATCGTGCCAATGATTATTACCGATGATACTGCGGCTATACAAGTTTGCGGCGCGAATCGTGTACGGATAATCGTTAATAGACGAATCGATTAACGCTTGACTTCCCTCGCGCAATTTATTTTATTTGTATATACATATGTGTCAGTATTTATAGTTACATTTATTTTCACATTTATATTCGCACGCGTACATAATTCTTTAAGGACGATTTAAATTTCTCTCAGAATATTATCGGTGCTCCTAACTTCATGTGTATTTGAAAATTCTATAATCCAACTTGATCGGATTGGATTCTTCCCCAAGCGACTGCGGCGCGTAATCATACGATTATGAGAGGGCTTCTCCAGGAGGGAGATCTATTCTTGCTTAACATCCCGTATAGATGTGGCTACTCGTAGAAGCCCACAGCCAACCGGGCATCAATATTAATGGAGCAATGCCGCATTTAGGGTGGAATAATGTATAGTGATCGCATTGGAGAAGTGTATGCTGAGATTGTGTACAGGCATACGCATACACAAAGGCACGCATGCTGCACGCAAGCACGCACAAGCGCCGCACACAGCGGCTCGCGTGTGTGGTCCTGCGTCCTATCGGTATCACGACCATAATGTGTCACCACCGATCGACTAGGACGCGTAATTTCAATCGCGGCGAACCCATTACCGTGTCATTATGTCGCGATGTAATGATGTAAACTAATGCCTCTCTCATGCAAGCGCATAAACGTGATATTTTGAGGCACACGGTGTAAAGCCAAAGTTGTGTGAAAGCAAACTTGAGTGTAACCCCGAGTTGATGCGATTAAAATTGATCGTCGTAGGTGATCGTGACGATTATTATAATTTTACCTAGCCACACGTTATCTATAACACAAAAGCGTACCGAATTATATCGCCGGTTTAATTTCGCATGTACATTAAATTTGAATTTAATCAATCAAATATAGTCGCAATATATTTACGACGATGCATCGTATTGCATTATATTGTATATGATCGTAATTCACTTATATAAATTCTATGTTAATATTGCGTGTGTGAAGTTAGTACCCCAACAATAAAATTCCATAGTTCTGATAGCTGCATAAAGTTGTCCTCCCTCCCACTACTGAAAATTCAAAAACGACCATTGCCACTTACGCAGTCTGGAAAGTTATATATTTTGCGAAAGAAGGGACTAACTTCACGCGCGTATATGTCTTTTTTTCATATTATTATTTACATCTTTGACTACCAATCATTGAGAATACACAGTGCGACAAATAATTTCCCGGAATGGTGCTATAAAAATGAAACGTAATTGAGTTTTTTCAGTTTTCTCTTTTTCTTTATTCAAAATATTCTCCTCCTGATTCAATACACTTTTTGCAACGATTCAACAATAATTCAAATGACTGTTCCAGTTCATTTCAATTCAACAGGCTTCGATGCGTGCTTTGGAGGCAATATCACAAAATGAACTGAAGCAGTCATTTGAATCATTGTTGAATTGTTGCAAAAAATGTATTGAATCAGGAGGAGAATATTTTGAATAAAGAAAAAGAGAAAACTGAAAAAACTCAATTCGTTTCATTTTTATAGTACCATTCCGGGAAATTATTTGTCGCACTGTGTAAACTACCAAATACTACCAAACAATCACCAATCGAGTGGTAATGGTCGTTTTTGAATTTTTAGTAGTGGGGGGGGGCCAATTTCACACAACTAGTTCTGATTAGAGTTCCCGCTTTATTTGAAGAAACGAAGAGTTCTCTATTATAGTTTATAACAAGCCATTCAGAACTATTTGATCATGAATTTTAATAAAAAGTTAGCACCTCATTTTTTAAATTTAAAGTAAAAATTGTTGTTAAGCAGAACTCTTGTTATAAACTATAGGTAACTCTTCGTCTCAAAATGAAGCGGGAACTCTAATCAGAACTATGGAATTTTTATGTTGGGGTGCTAACTTCACACACACGTTAATATATTGCTTAGTGATTTTACACTTACGTTTCACAAATGTTGCGCGGTTTTGACATTATTTTTACCGCTCACAAGTTCCTACGTATTTAAAAAGATATTCCCGATAATTCATGGACATCGACGTGAAATAAGTGAAAATTCTGCAGCATTAAGAGATTATATATAGCTGTATATAGATCCTCGAAATATATATTTTCCCTGAGTACGACTTCGCGAAAGGAAGATATAAATTTTACGAAACGACCAAAGATATATACGCTGTCTTGGAAGCAAGGTGTCGCACGCGCGTTTTATGGCGTGTAATTTCAATAACGACGAGTGTATTATCGTGTCGAAATATATACCGCAGTAAATCTATGTTCCGTATATCGATTCACATATCACTCTTGCATGCGGAAAATACTGCTGAGTTTATCTAAGAACATCAGTTTTTTTTTTTAATTGTTACTGTAGAGTATATTATTTAATTGCGTTACATTAACTCAACCAACATTAAAAGATTGCTTTCAATTGCTTATTACTTAAAAATAATTGATGCCCTTTATAATTAAGAAAAAGGGACGTAGATCCCTCTTCTTTCTGCGTGACATCGATTTCGATATTCAATTTTCTGATCGACAAAACTGATTTATTGCGACAGGACGTCGAATTCTTGAGTAGAGAAAATTGCGGAGAGATCTCAAACCATGTATAAACTGTGAGATTTTATATCTGATAAAGTAAAAGACTCTTCTGTAAGAAGAAATGTGTTGACAGGAAATTAAAGAAGTATATTAGAATTTTTAGTACCGCAAGAATAGTTCCGGGACTACCGAATGTGACATTTGAATTACCCACCCATCGACGAATTTGAAACTTTTTTTTTCTCTGCTCCGACGTTGATTTCGATATTAAATTTTCCAGCGTAACGACAAAACTGATTTATTGCGACGGGACGTCGATATCGACTCCTCGCGGGGAGAAAATCGCACGGCGCGAGTCGCAACGCGCGGCGCGGAAATTGCGCGACTTTTCTCCTCGAGATCTCGGGCGCGAAGGGACATCCCCGAGATGGGAATTTTCGAATATATTTTCATCCCGCTGTAAACTCATACCGCGCGCGCGGAGAAGCCTGTTGGAAATCTGCTTCGCCAGTCGCCGTGCCCGGGGAAAACGCGGATATGAAATTTGAACTGCGGAATTTCGATTGGCTCTATCGACGCGTCCTTCGCAAATTAGCTTATTCGTAGGTAGGGGGGGGATGGGCGGGATGGAACAGAGGGGGACAGAGAATTCAAATTTAATCGTGCGGCAGCCTTTGCAGTTCCAAACGGGGTTTGCCTACACGCGGGGAAGTGGCATTATTAGCTTTCGAATCGAACCAATCAAGTCGCTTCCTTATTAAGCCCCGCGGGGGTTCCTCTCCCCCTTGTCGTTGTCTCCGTTTGTCGTCATACGGCAGAGACGAATTTCTGAAATGTCTTTCGTCTCCCTCATGTAATTCTCCTTTTTTTTGTGCGACTGTCATACCGCTTTTTCGATGTCTGATCTCGGCCAAAGAAATTTCGACTTTCTCGATTTGAATTTAAAGCTATAGGAATATCGTTATTATTTACGTATATGCTCCTCAATATTTTTCTGACAAGCATTTATTGTTTATCTAAATCTAATATTGTTGCATTCTATCGACTAATAAATATATATTTTCTTATTTTATTTTAGCGACCATATAAATTTCGTATATATCTATTACAAGCGTATAAGTGTTCACACACAATAAGATAGGCCAATGCACGGTTATAGCAGGATCTTGATGCTACAATTATTTTATTATGTAATTTTACATACGTATCCTAGTTTCGACTAACGCACTCAGTTTAGTCGAAGCTAGGATATAAGTATGTAAAATCACATAATAAAATAATTGTAGCATCAAGATCCTGGTATAACCGTGCATTGGCCTATCTTATTTATTGCATATAAATTTCGTTTTATTAAATAATAATAAAAATAAGCACAGCTAACGATATGATAATTAATTATATCGAATATATATATGCATATAATGCGTTAATATTGATGCAAATATCAAAGTCCTTGCGAGGATAAGTTGATTATCTCAAAGAATACTTTGACGTGGTTCAGCGTCAATGAAGTATTCTTATCTCGTCTTCCCGTTTTAGTAACGAAGAAGTCCCACAGAAAAGAAAAACAGGAAAGGACGAGAGAGTGTGTATGTGTAGAAGCGTAACGCAATTAAAAAGGGTTCCCCGGGTCGGTTTCTTGCTTGTCTCGCGGCAATTTCGCTCGGACGTAGGGAGGAAGTCTTCGGTCATCGCGGATAGGCGCGATCAATAGCAATTTTAATTGCTAATTAAGCGCGGCGCTAGTTAGACGGATATGTGTTTCGTATTTAATCCTGCGATAAGACGATAAGGCGATAGGGGTTGCAGGCTGTACAAGGCTCACCCGTTAGTGGTCGAGTCAAAAACATCGTTGTAGTCCTCGTCCGTGCTGTAGTCCTGCACGTCGGTATCCGACTCCTCGACATCGCCATTTCCACCTGCAAGAAAATAATTTTCGTTAATTCTCTGTATCTATCTTATATTTAATAAGCAGAAGATGTAATATATATCATTTCCCAGAGTATCGAAACGTTCTTTAACACTAATAGACTATTATTTTAAATAGGAACGTAAAAGCTCGCTTGATTTTGCTTTTCAATCAATGAGGAGGAAAGAATCAATACAAGCCAAATTCTAATTTATTTTCTTAAATCACATTTTGGAATCATGCCACTAGATACAGCAGTCCATTTGATAAAAAAAAGATAAATCTTTTCTAGATTCTATCGACCTTCGGTCGAAGGACTTGCCAGTGCTCAATTTTAACAATCACGGCCATTAAATAAAGTCTGGCATTTTCTTATACTAACAGAACGGCAATTAGCGTTCTTGGTGGTAAAATTGTACAATTTCTTGTAAAGTTCACCGTGAAACGAACCATTATCGATTCAATATTGATGTTAAATCAAAAGTGAATCAAGCTCACTATCAGTTGAATGATTTAATTAATTCTCGTGCACATTTCCGGTCAATTTGACCTTAATAGAACTCAATTACCAGCTACGATAATCAAATTTCGTCCGAACGATATTCTATAAAATATTAAAATGAATATAGAACTACTTTCTATCATCATAATTATATTATAATTATATTTCTCCACCTGCAGAAACGTAAAGCAATTTCATCAAATTATTAATAAATAAATATAAATTATATAACTGATATTTATTTATTAGTAATATTTCGATAATAGATATGCCATTTTAACTATAATAATTGACTATTTAGGTACCTTAAAGACTAAACGAAAATAATACTACATTATATTGCGGTATACACGCTTTAATCAAGATTATTCTTGGCTGACCGTTCAGTTATCCAGGAATTTTAACAGCGTTTTCACTCGTCGTTTCCACGTCGGCCTAACGATTTTTCCTGTGCGTTCCTGTGCATAAGAGATTTGGGAGGGTTAACGCGTCGAATTCTCGACATTCCGTCGATTAAATTACAACCGGTACAACGGATATATTTGCCAAAGTCGAAGGGGTAATCTCCATGCACACAATCATAACTTACTCGCACGTCTTCCGGATCCTAGTAGGTAATATATTTGGCTAGACGGTGCCGTCAACAAACGATACCGTCGGTCGGCGGTGCCGCGAGATTAATTTGTGAATCGTGATTAAGGTCGGCACGTTCCCGAGGTTGTTAGCGCGGTAATGAGTAATCCGCCAGCGAAAGAGGTTTAATATGGAATCCCATTCTGGGACGGTACACATGGCGTTATTCAGCATGCTATAATTGAAGAGCTGATGCAAATAATATTGAAACTATCATATTTTCTAAAAATTATTTGGACGCTATGAGAATGTATAACTGAAAATAAACTAAATATAGAAACATTTCCAGAATACGAAACAAGTATGAAGAACTTCTTTGTACTTTATCCCTTATAAATATTTTAAATATAAAAAATAATATTTTTTAATAATATTTTAGGAGAAAAGGAAGACGAATTTTATACTGTAATTTTACATTTATAATAAATTTTCTACAACGTACAAAATTTAATACAATTGTTAAACCTTTAACTATTAATCAAATCATTACACGTAAAAGCATCTTACTCTTCCTACTTGGGCGACGTACCGTAACGTGATTTCGAAAGAGCACAATTTTGTCGGCGTTGTGTCATAATTCCATTCACAAAAGTTGGCAACATTCTGGGCGCACGTTGTGCCGCCTCGTAGTATGCTGTATGTACGTGTAAAGCTTTGGCTCGTAGCCGTGGCCAAAGCTATTAAATAATCGAGTAAATTATCCACTCCTGCAATATCTCCCGCAACGTCAGCCGAACGGGTGCCAAGAACAAATTTAAACTCTTACCCCCCGCGAGCATCGCCTTTCAATCCATTGACCAGCTTGATTTATCCGCCACACGCATTAGACGTTGATAGCTTGCAAAAATGTTGTAACTCAAAATATTAAATTTCTCAATGTAGCGTGAAGAGAATATATACTTCTCCTTAATGGAAAATTCAATATTATTTCTTTAAAAAACTGAACGTTAAAAAATAAAAAATTCTCACATTTATAATGACGACACGTATACTAAAAAAAGATAAATTTTCGTGAAATCGCTGATATTAAGGTAAAAATTTTCCAATATAAATACCGTTCTATAAAAATACAAGATATAAATTTGTCCTACAATTATTTTTTGGCTTGTCACACTTGACATGTAACTCAATTTTATTAGCATGAAACATATACGCCCCATCGACGGACACTTCAAAAATAATTTGTTTTTTTAGTTACAACTTGGTTGCGAACCATCGATTTGATTATAGTCCATCACGCTAGAACAATGATAAAAAAATTTTTTTGCCAGTTGCTCCTCTCCCCCTCTCGTACGTGCTTTATCGTAGATAGGCTGCGACGCCGGGATTTTGATCGGATACAGAGAAGTTTTGCAAATATTGATATGGGAAAAATACGAATTTTATTCGCCGTGTACCTGCGATGCATCCCGCTCGGATTGTAAAGTGACGTTTAACTTCGAATTTCGTCCGCGCCGCGAGTTTTTCGGCGAGCGCACGATAAAAAATCCACTAAAAATAAATACGGAAAAATCTCTGGCCCAATGTAAAATAAAAACGCGCGCAGTATATGACAAATACCGACGGGAGCGCAGCTCCCGTCTCTACTTCTACATCGAGATTGTAATATTGATTGACAAAGCCGTGTGACGTTTTTAATATATGAAATATGTAGGAGATACGCGATATATCGACATAGATTTTCCGATAGCGCAATCAGTGACAAAGCGCTCCGTAAATCAAGCATTTGTGGTAAACAACAGCGGGGGATTTATGTGCTTCTATTTTGTCCATTTTTAATACTAAATTCAGTTTTCAGAACACATTTCACTAAAAATATTACTGCCAATACTGAAAACGTTGAAACTATATCGCATTTCCATTTTACCACGAAAGCTTTTGTGTTTCATGAAATTAATAAACAAAAATGCAGGAAATATCTCCTTCTTCATTAATTAATTCATAAAATATCATTATTTATAGAATGTAGAATTCCTCAAGAATAATTTGATAAGATAATTTAATTTACCTTCACGTATACAATTAATAGAAGAGGAGACCGTGGAGTTTTGTTAAAATATTGAAATGCGGAGAGTATATACGTTAGAATTTTGATCCGCCTTAACGAAAATTCTCTGATTAAGCAAGCGTGGTTTAATCTCGCCTATCAGCGTTGCAGTGATATTACAACGCGTTGAGCAGCCGTTTCGTTACCGCCGCGTAATTGTCGCCGCGAGATTGCGACCGCAGAAAGGCCCCTCTCTTGCACTCTTTCGCTCTCTCGCTCCCGGTCCTCTACCACCATGACGGTGGTTCGCCTAATGCGAAAGTAGTACCGTGGGACACCGAGGTGAGTGACTAATCCCGCTGCTGGCTGTCGCTGACAGAAGTGTTCTCCCAGGACTCGTAAAGGCAGTAACTCCGCGTCATGCACTTACTCCGCGTAACAATCCCACGTATCGGTACGTATATAGGCGCCGTAAAAATGGCGAACGGTGACTGGCTGTCAGACAGACGCGCAAATATCAGAAGAAATCAAGCAGGTTATCGAAGAGGGAAAATAGTCGAGTCCTAAATGTTTATTTTATCATTCGCGTGTATAATACTTTTAAATTATCCCTCTACTATTTAATAAATAAATTGCTACATATTGTTACTAACATATGCATTTCTTTTAACATAAAAATGCAGAGCTTTGCGAATTTTAGTAAATAATTAATAACGATGTTATTTTTGTTATAAAGATAATTATAAAGAATATTATTTTATCATTATTGAAATAACTATATAGTATATATTTATCAGTATATTAGTATGTATTTACAATATTCAAGAAAACGTTTTCAATACGGACACGCTTTACCGTATGCATTATTAAATATCCTGAATGTTATATTAGGAATTTATAATCTCTTTGTAAATAAAATTCTTCATCGGAAAATTCTATTCGCGTCATAATTTCGGATTTCTGATAAACGTTATTGACGTGCAGCATTAACCAATGCAGTCCGGCACATTGTCGGAAGTACACAACTCTGGCATCCCTATATTTCGCATATCCGCACGTGCGTTCTATGTTTACATCATATGTACGCCAGTTGGCAAATATCGTCAACGCGGGTTTCATTTTGAATTACCGGGTTGATGATATCGTGAATATAATGAGATTTACCGTACCACGTGAAAATCGCTGCAAAATTTGCTGCTTCAACGTGCTCGCTGTAATCATCGAAAGTGGTGCATTTATGTGATTAAAAATCCGGATGTATGTTCCGTTTCCCCCTACACAAGTCCCTTTTTGACATTTATTTTTATTGTCGTTTTATCGATATCGCAGCTCCAGAGCGAAATTGACATAATCGAAACTGTCCGAGCATCGCGCGAAAAAAGATAAAATATAAATGAAATTTGCTCTTTTTTTTTATAACAAAATAGCTCAATGTTTTATTGATATTTTTGTTAGTTGCTTTGTACTTGTTGTATCGAACTCTAAGCACTTCCGTATTCATGGAATACTTATTATTGTTTAATAACAGCGTTGCATGCAAAAAACCGTAACGATTTAATATGGATTTTCGTAATGCGGTTGGAATTGCGATTTAAGTTAAATTTCACGGGTCGTTGAGTGCCATCACCAAAACTCCTTTAACGACTTCTAATTTCGATGTCACGTGCATACGGAATATTTTCCGTGTTGGTGCATATGGATCGAGACGCGCGAATCACGGGGACACGCCTTTTTTTTTAATTACAACACGGTCGCGCAATTTATGGAAAGAGACAAGCTGCGCCGCATGAAGTAACAACGGGCCGAAAATTGCGTCCATATTTTTCCGTCGTTTAACTGCACATTCGATCGAAATTCATCTTACCATTGCAAAATTTCGTATTGAAAA